GAAACGTTTGGCTGCACAATAGCGAGATGGAGAACGGCAGGTGTCAATGGCGAGATATCTCTCTCTCTCTCTCTCTCTCACTCTCTTGTTCCTCTCATTCCTCTTTCTTGCACGAGGAATTCCCGTAATTATTGATTCGATTAGGAATTCGATGGCGAATGTACAAGCGACGAGAGTGGTTGTCTCTGACAAAGCTTGCCGATGCACGGAGAATGCTAGGAAATTACATAATTTCCGTTCTTCCAAACGGATCGCCAGCAATGTTCACCGATGTTGTTTACGGAATCGTGCGAAAAGGGCCAGTTGTTTCTGACGTGCGTGCCATTATTCGATCTATTATCTTACCTTTTTTCGTAAAATTGGCTAGAAAATTGTTTGACCACATACACACACACACATACACACATATACACAGCTTCGATCCTTTCTCTCATCATCTTTGATGTTTCAGATGGAACTTCAAAGTATTGAGAAAAAAATTATTTCTTTTTTTAAATATCTTTTTAATATATATCTAAATTATGTGTCACGTTGTTTGTCCGCAATGGACTCTTAAACTATTGAACCGATTTTAATAAAATTTTCCACACTCTGTGCAATTTCATCCAACTTGAAAGATAGAATAGTTTATATCTTAATTTATAATCGATATAAGGTAATTCGTTTACTTAAAGACGTGTGTATCGGACTGATTATAAGCCACAGCAACGGGGCACACCCCTAGTATAATATAGAAATATAATCTCAAATGAACAATCTTTCAATTAATCTTCTTCCGTAATATTCGATTATTTGTTATCCTTTGTAAGAAATTTATTTGATATAATAATCGTTTAGATCTACAAATGATGCATTTGCAACTACTACTCCCCACTGTTAACAGTTAGAAATAACTGCAATCGTTTTATCAAAGAGATGATCGTAATTTATCGAGCAGAGAAAAGAGATCGACCTATATTAGTTCGCGGTCTACTACTATCACCACTACACCACCATCAGTCCAACGTATTCTTCTTTTGATTCGCGAAAATGGTCTCTCGACGCTCGTAAAGTTTCGATGGTAATGTGTCGGATATTGGCGAGATATCACAGTGGCCATGCAATGAAAAGTAAAGAACTGTAAAGTAAAATAGGGAATAATATTTTTCCTTTTTTTTTTTTTTATCACTTTCTTATGTAATTTTTTAACATCTCATACGAAATCAAAAGATTTGGTGAAACCATTTCTTTTTTTTGTTTTTTTTGTTTAATCGTAGTCCAATTATTCTTCTAATATATTTATTTATTGTATTATATTACACCATATTTAATATCAAACATTAAAGCGTTGAGTATCTCGAAAAATTCTTTATTATATATGTTCTGTTAATCATAACACTCCTATCATATATTTACTTTTGTATTGTTCTTGTATTTTTTTTTTCATTTACTTCATCAGATAAATAATAATTCTTTTCTTCGCATGTTTTCTTACCATTTCGTTATTGCTCGCGGTAGCGAAAGTGGAACGAGGTTAATCTAATGCTCAATCTTTGCAAAAGAAGTTTCTTTTATTGCTAAACTAATAACTACAAATGATTATTATTTATGGAAATTTTGTTCAAATTATATTTTACGTTTCGTTAAACAACTATTAACCGATTCTCATTAGAACAATACAACAACAATAACAACAACAACAACAACGACAAAAAATTCATATCCATCGTGTAAACATTTTCTTATTTTATTTAATGTAATATATGAATAAAAAATGAGATATGTTTGATTAATTAATTCGTAATGTGTTAGAATAAAACATAAGGGGGATGAAAGAAATTACAAGACACAAGAAAAAGTATTGCATTTTTTAAAGGTTGTTCTCTTTTTAAAGCTTGTGTGTACAACTTTTGTTTTTTGGATTGGAGCCATAGAATCGTAGGAATCAGCAAGGACTGTTAGACTAAAAGGAAATTCTATCGAGAATGTATCGGACTTGCTGAATTACGATAACCCAGGTTAGGATGAGGTAGCAGCTGACACAAATTTGACTTTCATCATATCCGATCAGGGATCTTCGTCGGATGATGGTGGTGGTGGTGGTACAAGAATGGAATAGGAGGAAGTTTTGACATGGTAGCACGTGCACGATCCTAAGATAAATCTTAAGATAATTTCTAAACTAACGTGTGTCCTATTATGACAATACGGTGATACTGTACATACTTTATTTTATTGATTATTATAGTTATTTATAATTAAATTATTATTATTATTATTATTTTTTTAATTTTCTTTCTAAACTCGTAAGAAAAATAAAAGAAAACATTTGTTTTCTTCTTCATAATTAACTCGTTAAAACAAAGGGCTTCGTATTGATCGAATAAAACGTGTATTTTAATTTGTTCTCATCGGGTAAAAAATGAAAATACGAGTATTAAAATGTAAATATATGAATGATCAATTATAATATTTAATTCAAAGTAAAACGATATAAAAGAGAGTTTTTGGTCGTTTTTATCTCGTAATACGAAAACTTGTAATCATCGAAGTTTGTAGTTAACGTTTGAAAAATTAAACGATCTTTACAAATTTCATGACACTTTCTGTTCAAAATTTTGAGTAGTAGAAGAAGAAGAAGAAGAAGAAGAAGAAGAAGAAGAAGAAGAAGAAGAGGTCTCTTCTTATACCCCCCCCCCTCCTTTCTTTTGGATGTAAAATTTACATGGAAGAGTTTAACGCAAATCTCGATAGATCGATTAGATGTAAATTTATCTGTAAGACTAAAGAAGAGAATGAGACAAGGTCGTTCGGTGGTCGTCGTAGAAAACGTCGACGTGGTAAATTTGAAGAGGTGTTCGAGCGAAAATTCTCTTTCAACGTTAGACCGAAGAGTAGTAGTAGTAGACGAGACATCACCCACGTAATAAGGTTAAATTACGATTTTTAATTAAAGGAACCTAGAGTAGAACGTAGTAACGTGTATCGATTGACACCACGGACGAAAACCAGTTCCCCTTATACCAACAAATCTGCTTCCATCTTAATTACAACCAGTGTTTTTTGTTTTTGTTAAAAAAAAAAAAAAAAAAAAAAAACAGGTGCCATAACGTGCTTTCTTATATTAAAGCTTTTTATTAAAGAATATTACATATTCTTGCATATCATATAAATGAAATTTTGGGTTACCTGTGTTAATACGTAACTCATTAAAAATTAAACATAATTAATGTGAAACTAAAATGACAAATTTCAAGTGCATTTATTATTACATCGTAATACAACCATTACGATAAAAAAGTATCGATTAGAATCTACTGTTGTTAATACAATTTTCATTTTAATATCGTTGTGTGCTGTGCAATTCTTCATATTATTAACTTTGTTAGATCTATTGTAAACGTTTGTTTGTATTCTTGTGCATGTTTTCTCTATCGTTGCATTTTCTTTTACATTTCTTAGAATACGAAAATTAATTTTTCCCTTGTTCTTCTCCAATCTCTTTTGTAATAATTGGGTCTTCTCAAAAAGATAAAGGAAGGGTGTGAGGTGGTGTGCCTTGATAGAGTATTTCGCGAACAGATGAGATATCGTTCTGTTCTTTGAAGACGAAACCAAACCGAAATCCATTAAAGCCAATCGTCTTCGTTCTTCATCGTAGGCATCGCAACGCGAGTGCTATCAAAACCTCGTTAACGTCCTGACCCATATATTTTTTACCTTCTTCTTTTTCTTCTTCTTCTTATTCCCTTCTCTCTTTTTTCTTTTTTTTCTTGTGTGTATGTGTGTGTGTGTGTGTTCTATTCGAAATAGCAGAAATCGCAAAAACGTTTTTCCCTTTTCTCACAAACGTTCGTGCATAAGTTTAAGCGACGAATGTTAGCTACCCTTTAAAAATTTCGCATCTTGAAAGCTCGAGAGAGTAAAAGAGAGAGAGAGAGAGAGAGAGAGAGAGAGAGAGAGAGATTCCTGGTTGAGAAAAGCCACGTTTCAATAGATTTTCGAGCCGTCACGTATCCTTCTCTCCTTTTTTTTTTTTTTTCTCTTTCTCTCTCTTTTTTCCAGATTATTTTCACTTACCTTTTATTTCCATATTTATGGACAAATTTTCTTTTTCCTTATATATATCTATGGTCAGTTATTTGATATCGAAAGTTTGCTCGATCGTTTGATTGAAAAAGAAAATAAAAAGAGAGAAAGAGAGAGAGAGAGAGAGAGAGTGAAAAAAGTAAGCTCATCTGAATTTCGGCACGTCTCTTTTCGCTCGTTCGAATTTCTAAACCAAACGATTCCACCACGGTGGAGTTAAATGCATGGAGAAACGGGTCACCGATGAACGGGTATCGTTTAAAATTAGGTAAAAGGGTCGGAGGGAGCAAAAGAAGAAAAAGATAAAAAAAAAAGAACAAGAAAAAGGGAAAGAAAGTTGAGTGGGGGGAGAGAAATATATATATAGATATACATAGAGAAACACATTGGCGCGCGTACGGCAAGTGACGAATGTATGCACGCGCAAAAGAGGAGGAGGGAGGGTGTAGGAAGATGGGAAAGAGAGAAAGAGAAAGAAACGAGGAAAAGGAGAAAGAGGAGGAGGTGGTGGGAGGTGGGAGGGGGTGGAAAGAACGCCCCGCCCTCATCCGACTCGACGTCGCTGCTCTCGGGCAGAGGAGGTTTTGCACCCCCTTCATCCCTTACCCCGTCGATGGACCGGCGACGTTCCGTTGGCAGTGGAAGCCGAGCACCAAAGCCACCCCCACCACTACTCCTCTTTCTCTTTCTCTTTCCCTTTCCTGGCTGTGTCTTCCGTATTCGTTGTCTCTGTTTGATCCGATGTTTAGGGCTTTTTCTCTGTCACTCCTCGAATCCTACTCCCAGCACGTCTAGTTTTGTATATATATATATATCTATAGATAGAGAGAGAGAGAAGGTAGGAGAGCGGCGTCAGGGTTGCGTAGAAAAGCAGCCCCCTCATACCACCTTCGATGGATCGATGGCGCTTGACTCGTTCACCCCCCGCTGCGTGGCGCCATTGTCGCCGGCACGGCAACTCCGCCGCTCAGTCTGAACTCGGGTTCACTCAGTCCACGACCGTTAGCCACGAGACTTCGATCTCTGGTACGCAGGGTATCATCTTACGATACCGAAAGAGAAAGAGAGAAATACAGTAAATAACTCTTTTTATACGTTATTTTTATCGGATCAAGATAATAATAGACGTTGTTTCGCGAAATAATCAAACAATCAATCGAGATATTTAATCGGGATATTCATTAAGAAGATTTTATTCCGCGCTATAACGGAGAGATACACACCACCGTCACATCACAACCAGACCACGTCACGTCACGTCACGTCAGACAGAGAGAAAAGTACGAACGATTGAAACACCACACACGCACACCCCATACACACACATATCTATACACGTACGCATCTTCTAGACGAATAATACACGCGAAATAGACAATTGCACGCGACTACTTGTTCTTTCGAATTTCTCTCTCTCTTTCTTTCTTTCTTTCTTTCTTTCTATCTATCTATCTATCTATCTATCTTTCTATCTTTCTATCTTTCTTTCTTCTCTCTTTCTCTTTCTTCTTTCTCTAACTCTTTCTCTAACTCTCTCTCTCTCTCTCTCTCTCTTTTCTCTCTTATCTCTCTCATTTTCTTCTTATTCTATTACACTCTTATTCCTGTGTGCCTTTTCTTAACCTTACTTTCCATCTCTTGGAAAAGTTTGCGCGCGCGCGCACACACGTGCGAGAGAGAGAACAAAAATAATATTCGCCGAGGAAAAAGATCGTATTATTTTACCGGTAACCGAGAGAGAGAGAAATAAAGAGAGAAAGAAAGAGAGAGAAAGAGAGAGAGAGACGTAGTCGAGCGTGTCTCGTGAGAAAGACTGAATAAATAAGAAAAGAAAAGAAAAGAAAAGAAAAGAAAAGAAAAGAAAAGAAAAAATAATAATAGAAAAGAATATAAACAAAGATATTCACGCACGACGAGAATATTCAGCTTTTAAAGTTTGATCATCGAGATATCATCAACAACAACACATCTTCTTCTTCTTCTTCATCATCATCATCATCATCGTGTCTTCTTCTTCTTCTTGTCATCGTCCTCACTTCGACCACCACCAACGGCGAATCCGTCAACAGTCGTCAATCGCAACGAAAGGTGAGTTTCAATTGCATTTTAACGAGATTCCTCCTTCTTAAGAAGAAGAACGTTTAACAAAAAGCAATTGTATTTATTCGCATAATCGTGTGAGTCATCAAACGAGCAAACGACAGATTTCGACGATATTTTATTTGTTTTCACTTAAAGAAGAAAATATCATTCTCCGTGAGAGGGTTGATGGATAATAAGTAGTAGTAGTAGTAGTAGTAGGAGGAGGAGGAGGAGGAGAAGGAAGAAGAAGGGGGTGGTTACATAGACTTTGAAAAGCACACGCGCGCGCGTCGCGTCGTCGTCGTCGTCGTCGTCGTCGACGTCGACGTCGTCGTCTACTGTTGGGTGCGTCGTGTTGGCTAGACTCGTGGCATCCTTCTCGCACGTTTTCAACGTTGCCTATTTCCCGACTCTCTCGTTTTCGTGTCGCTTCGTGAGAGCTTTACGTGCGACATGCCGTGGGTTGTTCGATAAAATGCGAGGGATAGGCCGTTCGTTGCAACGCTCACTCACTCTCTCTCTCTCACTCTCTCTCGTTCGTTCTCTCTCTCTTTCTCTCTCTCTTTCCTTCTCTCGCTCGGTCATCGATTTCGAACGCACTGTGGTAAAGCCAGACTTCTTCCCTTCACCCTTCTATTCCCTTCACTTCACTTCACTTTCCTATCTATATCTCTGTTTCCTTCAAATTGAACCAAGTTATCGCGAGATTTTTGCCCAACAATTTCCCTAACAGCAGTTGCAACTCTTGTTTTTTTTTTTTTATTTTAAATCTATCTCAGAGAGGAAGGAAGAAATCTAGTTTTTTTTCTTTTTTTTTTTTCTCAAGAAATTGCGATAGAATAAGAAAAGGGACAGATATATAGGATATTGAAGCACTAGAAATATTATTTCCTCTTCTTCATGATCTTCCTTTTATGTATTCCTACTATTTCTAGTTTTAAAGTCATCAGGAAGACCTTTAAATGTATATATATATATATATAGGTTTCTTTTAAAGTTGAGAGATCGTACGTGATCTTTTCCTATAAGTGAACTCCCAGAGAAAAAGAAAACGCGATAGCGAGAACAATTTTTAATAGAAGTTTGCTAATGACGTACGACCAAGTATAATAACGATAACGGCTACCGGTCAACGTACTCTCTTTCTCTTTCTTTCTCTCTTTCTCTTCACCCTTCGTAAAATTTTCCCTCGGGCGTGAGACGTTCATTCTTCTCAACGAACTTTAACGTTACCGGAAACTTGTGTAGAAACTTTTGGAAAAACCGCGATCCATAGGAGGATGTATATATATGTATATGTATATATTTCTACGTAGAAATTTTACACGATGAAAATTCATTTAGTATCACGTATTTCATATTATTATTATTTTTATTATTAATATTGTGTTTGAAAATTGTTAAATATTTCTTATCACGTTTATTTGCAAAGATTAAATTGGATGTTTCAAATGTTATTTTAAGTTTGCAACAATTGTTCATAAATTATGTATTATACATAGGTTAAAGTAAATGTAATAAGATGTTGCAATTTTATAAAATAGTTGAGAACATTTTGAAATTATTTTCATTATTATTCGTAGCCGTTTTCGTTTGGATGTAGAGTTTCTTATTCAAGAAGATTTATCGGAAGAATCGTGATTCGAAGAAACAGCGGAAGGTTTAAACTCTCCCGCGTGCCATCAAGATTTAATCTCTTTTCCTATGTGAGAGAGAGAGAGAGAGAGAGAGAGAGAAGGAAGAGGAAGGACAGTAGTCGTCTGACGGACGGTGGAAATCGAGTTTTCCAAAGTTTTCTAAGCGCGCACGAAAACAGTGATTAAACTCGTATTTCATTTCGTATTTGACGCGAATAATTCGAAACTTGCTTTGAACTTAAGCCAACGCGCTTTAAGATCGATTTTCTTGAATAGAACAAAAAAAAAATAAAAATTCAAGGTAAAAACGTTGATAAGGCAAATTTCTATTATTATTATTATTATTATTATCCTCCATTACTCGCGTTTTCTGGATTTCTGTACATTTCGTAGTTATGACGAGATTATCTGTAAATATATTATAATACATATATATATATATATTTATTAAAAAAATTTCATAATAAAACGTTTCCTCTTGCATTCTTATTGGGTCCTCTCTTACGCGTATCTTCGAAAATTGAGATGTCAAGAGATCGAGACCAAGCTCGTTTTTCGTAACTCGATCGTATTACCAGAATGGAATCGTCGATCGTAGGTAGCTCTTTTCCAAGATCCTCTTTCGGTCGAAGTGTCGATAAATCCTTGCCTTAAATTCGTTGCGTCATATATTATATATATATATACATATCCAAAAAATATATATATAAAATAATATATATATGTCTTTTGCCTAGGATAATAATTCAATCAGAGAGTTACTCCTTTCGTTTCGTTCCAATAAATTTCAAATGGGAATTTGTGTATAGATTTAAATATATTATAAATTCGTCAATATATATATATAAAATAAAAATATATTTCAGTACTACGTACATTTGATTGAATTTTTAAATATACATTTGTCATAAGCGTGGATAAAATCGTTTAAAAAAAAAAAAAAGAAAGGGCGTTGAGCAGGAATATTCATCTGTTCCGTAATTAATCACGACCCGGTATATATGCTTGACACGGTTACCTTTCAGTTTGAAGTATATCACACTAAAAATAGGAACTCACTCGATGAGGCCACGGCCACTTCTACCTTTTCTTCTTCTTCTTCTTCTTCTCTTTCTTCAGAAGAAACGGATTTGGTAGGGTCGCTTTAATCGAGTGATTCGATTCGTTCTCATTCTCCAAATCTCCGAACCTCCTTTTTTTAATCCGAGTTAGGTTACGACTGGGCTGACGAATGACAAACTTTGACTACTACTTCGTGCTTGACGAGAAACGGACGATCGAATGCTGTCCGTTACCACTAACGACGACCTACGAACTTTCCTCGTTCGAGCGGTTTCGCGAACATCCCCCAAAACTTCCCCTTTCCTTCCTTCCTCTTCCTCTCTCTCTCTCTCTCTCTCACACACACACACACACAAACCTTCTTTTTATTTCTCCATTTCCCACGGCAATTAGGATCGATTGACATTTTTTTTTCTGCAACTTCTTTTTTACCCTACTTCCAACAGTGTTTTTATTTGATTTCGATACTTCTTACGGTTATCAATCATCCCTACTTGTAATGGACTTTTTGTTGTTGTTGGAATATACGTGAATTTTTGGTTCTTTTTTTTTAATTATCAAATTAAACTCATAATATTAAATATCAATTGTAATGTTAAATAACAAATACTGTGTGCCTTTTACACTGTATGCCTTTTGATTCTCTTGCCCTCTCTCTCTCTCTCTCTCTCTGAGTTCATGCACAGGAATTAACAATAATTTGTACTAAGTTATGCCATATCTGATGGGGGATGTTAGACGTCTCTATATTGATTATCGATAAACGTGACTTCATTGACAATGGTGGGTATCACAACGGGAGTCAGTGGAATGCGATAATGTCCAGACGTGCACTATCATCATTCGATAAATATATTTAATATATTAGTTTGTTCTAAAGATTTAATTTTTTTTTTGTAGTATTAATAACGTTTACCCATACAATAGAAATATTTTTCTATTAACGAATATCATACGTTTCCTACAAAAAAAAAAAAAAATGTAATATTGCCCAGATGGTAGCAATGCACTATCTTATCACGACTACTAACTATCATAGGATCGAGTCCCAGCAGAAGGTTATCCCTTTCTTGATTTTAACCATGGGTGAAATCATGAAACCGAAGAAGCTGTGGACAACATCCTAACGTTGCACCTGACGTCAATCTGGGTTTCTCATAGCGTTTATGTTCGTTACGCTGCATGCATTATTATTGGTGCAAAATAACGAGTAATAAAAGAGAAGTAAGAATAAAGTTATTAAACTGTTCGGAAAGAAAAAGTAATTATCTCCACTCACAATCAGTGTAAAAACAAACCAAATAAAAACTGGTAAATAATAGAACCTAACAAATCGTATTTAAACTAACAATAGTATGAAATATTAGAAATAATCTGAGGATTAATGATTCTCAAATATCACCTTTAAACAAGTTCCAATTTTCTTTCACTATCTTGTTCGATGACGGAGCAGAATTGTTAGAATCGAGTTGACTAAGCAACGATCGAACAACAATGTATCCTAGGGTAAAACCAGGGGTGTGACCAAAGTCACTTTTCAGGTCACGTTTGTTAACTATAGTCGAGACTTTTTCGAATTGAGAAGAATAGAAAACGCATACACACATCCACACATACACATGAAGATGATAGTAGAATATAGAACGAATAAAGGGAGGAGATTGGTGGAGGTGGTGGGTTATTTCGCGAATCACTATAATAAAATGTTTGACTGTTCTTCGTTTACATTTACAAAAGTATTATAGGTCATTGCAATTCATCGAAGAGATTGATGTTTGTTTTATGATGAAAGCGTTAAAAATTGGTCAGATAAAACTGGACAACGTAACGGCGAGAGGAGGAGGAGGAGGAGGAGGAGGAGGAGGAAGGGGAGGGGGAGGAAGAGGTGGAGACCTTAATATAACCTAAAAGGGTAATGGTAAAACCGTTCGAATCGATGAGATTCGCTTCATCGGTCGCGTGCTATGATTAAACAACTAGAAATCAAAAGCTTTTGCATTGGTTATATCAACGGGAATTCGATTAAAAATAAACCATCTGCTTTTTCATAAATAACGAGAGAGAGAGAGAGAGAGAGAGAGAGAGAGAGAGAGAGAAAATGAAAGAATTGTATAGTTGATAAAAAAAAAAAAACGAGCATCAAATTTGAGTCGATTTTTTCGATTTTCGTTTCCCTTATTCGCGGGTAACCTTTGTAAAGAATAAAAAAAAAAAATACAATTAAAATTAATATTTGCCAGATATATATTTGATTTATTTTATTGTTATTTTTTTTTTTTTTTTTAAACAAATCGTTTTCACAGAGAA